ATCGGCGCGGCGAGGGGGTAGGTTCGAATTCGCCGCGCAACATTTCACCCCCACGGGACCCCGCCATCCCCCCCTCATGGTCCCACCACCTAGCACCCCAATCTTAGGCTTCGCACCCTCTCCTTGCGTGGTGTCCCCCGCTATGTGTCGCCGTCTTCGGGGCACGCAATCCTGTGTAGTCAGGGCAAGTGGGGGCGGGGGGCAGTCCCTTTGACGTATGTATCTCTGGGTTCTGTCCCTAGTCTCGGAGGGGGGCTTGAAGGTCAGAATATTTTATTTTTCCGGCTCCGCCCGGAGAGGGGTCCGCTTGAGTGGTGATTAAGGTCAGGCAGCGTGGGTAGAGTAAACTTCTAGCTCCACACACACAAAAGGTGGTGTGTGGGGCAAGGCCCCCAACGCCCAAGCGCCCGCGCCGCTGTACTGCCTATATCTACAGCAGTATATCTACGTAGGGCTTGCCCTGGCCTTGCCCACTTACGCCTCTTAGCTCTCCCCCCTGGCGCGCGCGGGGGATGTGCTCGCTCTGGCCTCTGCCTGGCCGCTTTTTTGCGGTCTTTGTACACGGCATACCAAAGAGAGAGGGCCGAGGCGTCGCTCGAGACCGGGAGGGTGTGTAAGCCGCTGCCGCGCCCTCTTCGACGGCCGACGGCGGCGGGCGGCGCAAGCGCTGCGCTCTTCAGCATGCGTTCGCCTCTTCCCACTCCCGGATCTGCCGGCGCAGCGTGTGGTTGGGGGCTAGGAAGCTTTGCACGAGCGCCTCGCCCGTCATCGGGCTCGTCGACTTGGTCGCGAGCCAGCGCTCGATTGCCGACCGCTCACAGGAATGCCCGTCCGCCGCCATCACCGGGTCGCTCATGAGCTCGGTCGTGATCGGGCAGATGAAGTCGGCCGGCGGCTCCTCCTCCCTCGGAGCCGGCGCCTCTGCAGCCGAGGACGGCCCTTGCGCCTCCACCGCCCGCCGCCCCTCCTCCAGCCTCGCGCTCTCCTCGAGCGCCGCCGCCAGCTTCGCCGCAAGCTCCGCCGCCACCGCCTCCCCCGCCGCCTCCTCCGCCGGCGCCTCGGCCTCTTGCGACGGCCCAGCGCCGCCCCCGCCGCCCTGCTTCTTCTGCAGGAAGCACGAGGGCAGCTCGGACAGCGGGGGGTTGCGGTCGCTGCTGCTGCTACTTCTGTCGCTGCTCCAGTGCGGTGCAAGCACCAAAGTCGACCTGCGCTTTCCCGGCGGTGCAAGCTCCACGAACGACAAGCGCCCCTCCGACGGCAGGGCCACGCCTTGCTGCTGGCCCGTCGGCCCTCTCCTTTGCCGCACGGATAACCGCCCTTTGCTGACCTGCTCCGCACCTGCCAATCTGGTCCGCAGCTCTGGCTTGCGCCGAAACGGCGGCTTGCGAATGCTCCAGTGGAAGGTGTAGTCGAGGCTGTCGCGAGGGCGGCAGCAGAGGACGGCGGCGAGGTGGACTCGCAAGATGCGGCTGAAGGGGAAGTAGAAGAGGGCCAAGATAGGGAAGACCAAGAAGATGATCCGGTCACGTGGATTCTCGTCTGTCATCAGCTTGTCGGCGTCCCTCACCCAACAGCCCTTTTGCTCCTCATCATACTCCTCGAGCTTCTTGCGCAGGGAGAGGTACATGCCGCACACCTCCTCGCGATCAGCCCGGCCGATGAAGCGCGTCGACTCGGCCTCGAAGAGCGCCTCCATTTGCCGCACGCTTGGCAGCCGCCCACGCGCCACCGGCACACGGCCGACGCCGAGCTCGTATGCGTGCCCGCCCCCTTCCGTCATCAGCAGCGCGCACGCCGTCTCAGACGTGCACCATCCCGAACGGCACTTGGCACCGGCGTAAGGGATCAGGTCGAGGCGGTCAGCTGGTGGCGCGCCGTCGTAGATCTCATTCAGCTCGCGCTCCAAATGGAGCGGGATCCGCCGGTGCTGCAGCACGAGGACGCGCGGGCTGGCGTAGGCGTTGCTCATCACGCCGAGCCCCTCCTCGAACAGATCCGACTCCGCGGTGGTACGTTTCGCGCCCGTTATCGGGTCGTGCTGCGGTACCGCGGCAAAGTCCCACATCAGGGCGGGCCGATCCTCTGCGTGGCGGCCCTCCCGGTAATACGAGAGGACCTCGTCGAGGTGGAAGCGGCTGCCGTCTGGCTGGTCGCCGCCGCCCTTGGACGAATTGAAGGGGCCCTGCCACTTGTAGGAGAGCGCAGCGACCTTCTCTTCGGCCAGCAGGCGGGCCGCGTCGGCCGGGGCCCAAAACGCCTCTTCCGGCAGGTCCTGCTGCCGCAGTAGCACCCAGTCCGTTGGGCGCTCCAACAGCCAGGCGACGCGCAGCAGCCGGAGGGAGCCGTCGGCGAGGCGCTGGGGTAGGTCGGCCTCGATGGCGGCGATGCGAGCGCGCAGTCTCTTGCGAAGGTGGAGGTGGTTCAGAGGTGGGGGGATGAAGAGAAATATGCTCGAGACAATGAGGACTGTCGGGTCGTAGTCGCACTGCTCCGGAACAAGCCACGAGAAGCCCAGCGGGGAGGCGACGAGGATGGCGAAGCTGCCGAGGGCAAGAGTGAGCAGATAGAGCGCGAGGAAGCGCTTGGGCTGCGATGCCGTGGGCAAGAGTAAGGCCAAAAGTCCAAGGACGGTGGCCATAAGAGTGGCGACCAAGCTTAAAGGGACCCACTTCTCGTCCTCTGCATCGCAATCGGCCGGTGGCAGCGGCGGGGGCAGCTCGGGGGGCAGCTCGGGGGGCGGCGGCAGCGGGGCGCGCCCCGGTGGCCACGGCGGCGGTGCGGGCGGTGCGGGCGGTGCGGGCGGAGCGGGCGGAGCGGACGGGGAGAGAACGGCCAGTGTCAGATCGTTCTCCGTCCAGGAGCCGTCGCAGAACACCTGCCAGGTAGCCGTGCCGAGCGGCGGCGAGGAGGAGTCGTCCGAGCCGATGGCGGCCATGTAGCTACATACCCCCTCGCCATCGAGGTCGTTGGAGGCAGTAGTGCTTGGCTGATCAGTGTCCACGCCCCAGGTCGCTCCGAACCCGTTGCCATTGCATTCGGGGTCCCAGTAGAGATAGTACGACGACGAGGCGTCGCGGAAGTACGGCGCCCCTGAGAAGGTGTAGCCGACCGCGACATACTCGACGTTGTCGAGGATAGAGCTTCGCGAAGCGCAACCTCCGGTGACCATGAGCGGCGGCGGGAGTGGCGGAGGCGGCGCTGTCGCTCGCGGCAGAAACGTGACGAGGAGCGCGGCGGTCGAGCCGCCCGTGCTGAGTACCGCGAGGAACGCGAAGAAGATGCTGAGCAGGTGGAGGCGGCCGGTGACGACGGCCGGAGAAACGTTGAGCTTCAGCATCGCTGCTTTCAGGCGGTTTGCTTCCGGGCTGGACGGGGTACAGGTACAGTGGGACGCCTTCCTCGGTCCCCACGTCGGCGAATCGGTCGGCGATGCGCTTGTGTTTCGATTATTGGGGTGCAAGGCTACAGCGTGCCAAGCTGCAGAAACGAGCTTTTGGTGGCTATAAGCATAGGCACTGAGATGATTATGGTGCGCGCGGAGCGCGCTGGTGCTACCCGGACACACGCGCGGAGCGCGCAAGCTAGACACACGCGCGGAGCGCGCCGGCCGGCTAGATACCGCGGAGGCAAGCAATCAACACAACCGTTCGAATGCTGACGCCGCAAGTCGCTGCCGCCGAGTGCCAAAGTGCGCCTGGATTGCTCAGCAGCACAAGCATCCACGGAGCCAGCGAGCGCCGAGCGACATTGCCTTGACTGAGCCAGACCGGGACATGTCGGCGGCGGCAAACTTGAAATGGTGCCGATAGATAGGTGATAGCCGAGGTAGCTCCGGCGGACGTGAGAGCAAGGCCTGACGATACACTGGCAAATGCCGAAGCCCTCGCCGCCCTCGCTGCCGCCCAGGCATCGCCACCGCGAATGCCCAAGCCCTCGCCACCCAGGCATCGGCATCGCGGGTGACTAAGAAAAAATTTCGAGGCCGCTGTCCCTTTTGTCAGGGGCAGGAGAACTAGAGTGAGTGGGCAAGGGGCAGGCGTAGTTTCTTCCCCCCCTCCGTCGGAATCGACAACTCATTAGTCGAACTGGCGACTCATAATGAATCTTGCCGCAAGCGCAACCGCCCTGTGGGGGCGGCAGCGGCGACCGCCCTGTGGGGGCAGCGGCGACCGCCCTGTGGGGGCGGCAGCGGCGACCGCCCCCAGGGAACTATATTTAGCGGCTCCCGCCTTCAGGGAAGTTCTGGTACACATGTCCAGGACTCTTGTCGAAATAGCGTGTAGAGTCGAAACCACAAGAGGGCTAGGAGCTCACGGAGTAACGGAGTAGGATGTGATTCCGTCACGCTCCTGCTCTAATAGCTGTCTAGTGAGTTTCACGCTGTGTGTAGAGTGCCGGCTGTGGACTGGCTGTGAGTCGTGTTTTGACTGTTGTCGTCAGGAGATGAGTCACGATCTATTCAGCGAGATCCCCGCCCGAGAAGCGAGATAATTTTCCGCCGAGATTCCCCCGAGAAGTGCTCGGCTCCGTTCAGCAACGTACTTTCAAACGATCTGTCTCACGCACGATTTTGATGAGAGAGCAGCGCAAGTCAATCTTTCTCCTCTCTCCTCGTCGAGCCACACCACTCCGTGCTCGCGCCTGCCCTCGAAGCAGTCCCGTCCATGCAGCGCCTGGTACGAGTCCAGCAGCACGACCTCGCCCGTCGCCATCGGCACCCGCACCACGTGCCTCCCCACCGCCTCGTCGACAGCCTCGAGCAGCGCCGGCTCGAGGGGAGAAAGGTCGCCGTAAAAGACGTCCACGCCCTCGAAGGTGCCGCCCGCCGCGCCGCCGCCCGCCCGCCGCCGCTGCAGGTACGCCGACTGCGAGTGCAGGCTGCTGAAGAAGGTTGGCGCGCCGCTGGCCGGGTGTCGGTTGACAGGCGCCTTCGGCTGCTCGAGGATCTGCAGCGTCCGCTCGTCGGCGGAGAAGGCGACTGCCAGATCGAGCGGCACCTGTTCACAGCTAGAGGTGTGAAGAGACGCTGTTCACAGCGAGGCGACTCGAAGTGATGAAGAGGAGGATAAAACACTAACTGCTGATAATGTCAATAGAGATGATAGAATAGTAGTAATACTGATCGAGCGCCTTGGCCGAGAGGATAGCGCCCACGACGCGCAGCGCCGCTCCGCGCAGCGCCGCGAGGAGGGAGGGCGGCAGCGGCAAGTCCGCGAGCCATCCGAAGGGGATCGACGCCACCCGCACTGAGAGCAGCCTCTCTCGCAGGGTGGCCAGCACTCCGGCAGGCAGGGTGGCCAGCACCGCCCGCCCGTCCGCGAGCAGAAAGTCGCCTCCACCGAGCTCCGCGGGCTGGAAGCACGCAAAGGCGGCGAAGGGAGCCGCCAGCTTGTACGTCACGTCGTTGTGCAGCCCTATGAAGGTCTTGGAGAGGGACTCGGCGTTGACCGCCTCGTACACTCCGTCCGGCGCGGAGAGGAGGGAGCGGACGCCGACGCTCGCCAAAGGGTCGGCGCAGGGAACCAGAGGCAGCGCGCTACAAAAGTCGCGCAAGCCTGCCGAGGTGGCAGGGAGGCGGAAGCCCTTGAAGTGAAGCGCGCCGTGCTCGCCGAGCTCATCCATGAGCCACTCCCGGTTCCGCTCGAGCCACTCGCGCTCAGCAGTCGGCGACAGCGAAGGAGGCGCGGTGACGACAGCGAGGAAGTCGCGTGGAGCCGCGGGCGTCAGCTCGCCGAGCGCGTCCCACCGGGTGGGAGGGCAGGGAAGCAGGCCGAGGAGCGGTGCGAGGAGCATCCGCGGCCGAGCCTGGCGAGGTACTTCCAGCCTGCTGTGGGAACAGCTGACGCAGTCTCGCCGAGGCTCGCCCCAGCACTCGGGTTGACTCGGCCAGACAATGTGCTGTGAATGGTTGCCGTGAATTTTCTTCTTGAGCACTTGAGCACTGGATTGGGTCGATTTCGCATGGTACGGGACCCCTCGATCGTCTCGCCCTCCCTCACTGGTGTGTTCATTGGGGGGGGGGGGGTCATAACAAACACGCGACACAAAAACGGTCCGCCGTAATAAAGAAATAGACCGGACAGAGAGCGAGTCGTTTGTGTGTCCGTTGGTATGTAGTACACGTTTATTGCGGGCTCGCCCGTACGACAAGAGCATCTCCGTCAGCTCCCTCTCTTGTCCGAAGAGCGACATTGTTAGCGTTGGCATGCAGCTCTCCATCATATGCGCGCGTGAGGATTGCATCGACATAAAGCGTTCCTAGCAGAGGCCGGTGGGCGCACCCGCGTAGAAGGGGGGGGGGGGGGGCGCACAACGCGCAAAATAACAGGGAGCGAGCGAACACCAACATCACGCACACCAAGCCAAGCCTCCTCGTATGCGACGGAGCAGGTCTGCGCGGTGGTCCATACGTGTGTTGTTCGCAAGATGATGCCATTGATGCTGTCCGACTGTTCCACGGTGGATGTGCTTGACGTAGGTGCCGTTCAAGTTGAACCCATGCACCTTATGAACTGCGCGCCGATTCTCGGTTGACAGGGCCCTGATGGCGCGCTGGAGAGATCCTTGGTCGTCAATCGCCCTCGCAAGGTTCTTTCCGCAACGTGTTTGTACTGCGCGCGCGTGCCAATCATTCATGAGCATGGGTGACAGAGGATGACGGAGGTTCCACAGAAACACGCCGTTGTTGATGTCCCAGAACACGCGCTCATACCAACCTTACTCTGCCCACAGAAGGGCGTCCGGATTGGAACTACGCATCAATCCCACGACATCTTTCGGGGTGGTGACAATCGCGTCTGCATCCAAGTACAAAAAGAAGTCAACGTCACTGGCACGCGCTGCGTCGAAAAGCATGCCGAGTTTATTGAATGCAGCGGCTGCTTGAAAGTTTGGCTGCGTTCGACAAATTGATTCCAGCTCGTCATCGAGGTAGATGCCTGTGATGGCTCTGTACTGATGCCCATGCATGTGTGCCCACTTCTCGTTGCAGTTGCCAGTGATGTTGAGGAGCGTTCTGTACGATCCTGTTTTTGTGCTTCCTTGTGCAACGAGCACTCTTCCTGGCGGCTTATGCGACGTGTGGCTTATATGCTGCGTGGGGCCGACTAAAAGAGGGTCGCCTGCGTCAACGATCTTGGCGACCGGTCCTCCTCTGAACATCGGGCACGGGACTGGCGCGCAGTAGAGAGTCTCCACGCCGTTTCATCGAGTTTGCCCGAGTGGTAAAATGCAATCGAATTTGCCCGAGTGGTAAAGTGCAAATTTGGCATTTGGTAAAAGTTGCCCGAGTGGTCTGTGGGGAAAAACCAAAGCGGACGGGTGGCCCCAAGAGCTAAAGGTCAACATCCCCTCCGGCTACGACATTGTGAACCTGATCTGGTCCTCACGGGGTTGATTGACCCGTCTCCTCCAGATCGAGACGGACTTCATGAACGGCCGAGCAATATTTCTTCATTACTATTATTAATTGATGCTTTTTGCACGGCTGAGCCCCCCCCCCCCCCCCCCCGCGCCCATTCCCAGGCCGTCATCGCATTCGCCTTCCTGGGACCCAGCGCTGACTTCTGACTGTCGTTGCTGTCTCTCCCCCTTCTCGACTGTCTGTGCTTGTGCGTCTTGGGTCCGGAGTTGTGCGTTTATGTGAAAGGCCAGCGCACAGCGCCATAGGCGGTATTTTCACATTCTCAATAAGAGGGCTCCCGCGGCGATCAACACCGCAACTCCTTTTCTAAATTTCACCACTCTTCTTGGTCACCACACCATTGACACAGCATCGCGCATGGCACCATCACGCCGTGCTCATTTGCGCGGCGATCGACGAGTTCGGGGTGCAGGTGGTAGAGCGTGCCGTCGTCCGACTCCCAGCAGCTGATGACGCGCGAGATGTCGGTGTCGCGGAATTCGTGCGTACCGTCGCCGTTGGGACGGTCGTTGCTCGCGCCGTTGGGAAACGCAAGGCGCACCTTTTTGTTTTGAAGACCTCGATACTTAGCGCACTGCTCGGGCGAGAGCTCAAACACGTGCCGCGTCTCGTCTTCGCCGCCGGCTACGCGCACAGACACAGTACGCGGCAGCGCCGACACGTCAACCCGCGTGTACGTCAGCGACGGGTCCCGCACGCCGCACGAGGCGCATGCGTGCAGCGGCAGCGCGTGCGCCATGCGCTCGTCGCTCCACTCGCCCAGCAGCCGCCGCTTCGTCTCGTCGGAGACGTGCACGCAGCGCTGCAGCAGCGCCGCCGTCTCGTCCTCGGGCCGCTCCAGGTCCATGACGACGTTCGTCGAGGCGTGGAAGCGCGTCTCCAGGTCGATGGCCGCCTGCTCGGCCGCGGCGAGCTTGCCCTGGTCGACGCACATGCCGCACACCGCGTGCGCCGGGCAGCCGCACTGGCCGCGTTGTGGGCGCACGGTCTTGGCGACCGCCGGCGCTGCGCGCCGGTCGTGCTGCTCACGCTGCCGGCGGCGCTGGTCGCGCGCCTGCCGATCGCGCGTGTTCGCGGCGGCTGCATCTCTTGCTCGTTTCGCTCGCACCCGAGCGGCTGTCGCCAGGCGCTTCAGGTCGGCGGTGCTGCGCGCGCGGCCGTCGGCCAGGCACAGCCACATGTCCTCCTCCTCGGCAGGCTCGCACGGCTTGCCGTCGAACTGCGGCTGGCGCCCGCGACGATGCTTCGCCCAGGCCGGGCACGATGGTGCCGCGACGAGCGGCGTCGAGGCGACGGCCATCGATGGGTCCAGAAGACTTGGAGACACTTCTCGACCAAAAAATCAAAAAAATCGAGCACAATTGCGTTACATGGGCATGGCCGGGGTTTCTGCACCGAACGATCTTACTTTCGGTCTATCGAAAGTGTTGATCGATAACAAGGCTGTGAACAACACGGTGACAGAGAGATCGCCCCGCCGCGTCCCGGTGCTCTGTGGTCGGAGTTGTGACTCCGCCCGGGCGGCAGGCGGACCTCTCTGTCGGAAGCGCCGCAGACCGACCCCTCCTCCCACAGTTGGCCAGCTCCTGACCCATGCCGGTCAGGACCTCGACGGCTGTGGCCGTCGCCGCCGCCGCCGCCGCCGCCGCCGTTATCCTCCTCCTCGGGCGGCGACGGCGCCTGCAACCACGCATCGCCTACATCAACACCGAGGATGCTGACAAGTGGAATGATCAGCTACGAATATTCGCCGGCGCGCTGCGCCTCCCGCCTGCGGCCTTTCAAAGGTTCGACGCGTACAAGGGCGAGTTCCCGACCCGCGCGGAGCTCGAGTCGGGCAAGTACAATGGCGTGCTGATTACGGGCAGCCACTATTCCGCGGTCGACCCGCAGCAGCAGCACTGGCTCGAGGGCCTCTTCGAGTGCATCCGAGCGTGCGCTGCGCTGCCGCGGGTGCGCCTGGTCGGCTGCTGCTTTGGCTGCCAGGCCGTCGCGGTCGCCCTCGGGGGCGAGGTCGGCTCCAACCCGGACGGCAGCTTCACCTTTGGCGCAGAGACGATCGACGTCGACGCGGCTGCCCTCGCCGGCCTGTTCCCGCCGCAGGAGCGTGCGAGCGTGGAGGCGCTCCTGTCGCCGCTGCCGCCAGCGGGCGGCGCTGGCGAGGGCGGCCCGGCCTCCCTCCGGCTGCTGCAGAGCCACGGCGAGCAGGTGCTGCGCATGCCGGCGGGCTCGCTCCTGCTCGGCTGCTCGCCGACCGCGCGGCACGAGCTCTTCGTCTGCGGCCGCCACCGCAATGCGCTCTGCTGCCAGGCGCACCCGGAGTTCGACGTGGCGCTCCTCCGCGAGCGCATCGAGCCGGCGCTGCGCGACAAGGGGCGGATGACGCCGCTCGAGCTGCAGGCGAGCGCAGCGGGCATGGCGGCCGGCGGAGCGGAGGCGCTCCGCTCGGAGGTGGGGCGCGAGCTGTACAGGAGGTGGCTGACGGGACGGCACAGCTGAGGAGTGCGGCCCGGAGGCGTGCTCCGTCAAAGCGCTGCGCACCGTCTGCCCGACGGAGGCGCTGCCTGCGCGTCCGACGCCGGTGGGCGACGAGTTCTTTTGCATCGCCGAGTCGATGGCGCCGCTCGCAGAGGCGCTCGCGGAGGTCAAGGCGGCGACAGCGCAGGCGCAGGGCGACGGCGGGCACCATCTGCGCGGGTCGAGCTCGAGCGCGGCGACAGTCTGACGTGACTCCTTTCCGGCTGGAGGGGTATGGGCTTCCGGCGCTCGCGGCGCCGGGCCGCTGGTGCCAGACCGCCATCATCCCGCGGGCGAACGTGTACGGCGAGACCGACAGGGCGCGGCGGGATATTGCGCTTGTGCTGGCGATCGCTCTCACGGGCATCGTCCTCAGGGTGCTGCTGCTGCTCGGCGCGCTGTGGTTCGTCCGCTTTGCGCACAAGTCGCTCTGCCGCGAGCGGCGGCAGCTCGACGAGAAGCGTGTGCGCGCCGAGGTCGACTCGATGCACGAGATGGGTCGTCCCTGCCGAGCTGTTTGCCTCCTTCTCCTTGTTGCCGATGCACGAGACGCTGCGGGACGGCACGGCTGCCACCCGCTCTTCACAGTCAACACGCTCGCATAGCTGCGCGAGCTGAAGGGCAGCCGCCGCCACTGCCTCTTCCGCCACCGCCTTTTCCTCCACCGTCGCCTCCGCCGCCGCCTCTACGGCGCTCTCCAACGCCTCTGCCAGTCCCTCGCGACCCCATCTCTCATTGGAGCAGGGGCGGGGGCGACGCCGGCAGCAGTGGCCACCACAGCGGTGACCCCAGCATTCATGGGTGACGACAATTCATTGGATGAGTGTTTGCGAGCAGAAGCGCGTGTGCTGAATCTAGATCGCACGCCGTGGCATATGACTTGGGTAGGCGTGCGACCGCAGCGCGCCCGCCGTAAGCTCGACGGGGCGCGCGTGTCAGCTAGAAGTTTGCCAGTAGAGCTATGAATCCTGGTCTTTTCGAAGACGAGCCCCGCGCCACGGGTGCCAGCCGTGCCTCCGCGGGAGTCGCCCTTCGAGCCGCGTCCCGTCGGCACCGTCCCTGAGTGCGTCTCGCCCCTCTGCGGACACACTCGACGAGGACAGTCCAGCCGACGGGAGGGTTGTTGCACGAATATGGGACAAAAGCGTCGAAAATGTCCCAAAAAAGCGTTTGTCGAGTTTGTTGCAGCCCCACAGCCGGCGCGCGCTGCCAGGAAGCACCGCTCGCGTGTCGGCGGCACTCCCTGGCACCCAGTGAGTGCCGCGAACCGACCAGACCGATTAGGCTCGACGCCGCGCTCGCTGTGGGGCTGCCACAAAGTCGCCGCCGAGCGTGCCACCGACGGCGTCCCGTCGGAGGTGATGGAGTGTGAGACCTGAGGCTGCGGAGGTGACGCCTGAGGTAGCGGTCCGTGCACAGCGACTCAGCCGGCGACCGCCACGGGCTCAGACGAGACTTGTCGACTCGTTCCAGCTCAGCTTCACCGTGGTCCTCGGGCGTCTGTCGACGTCAGGACCACCCATACAGCTCGCGGGTTTGAGGTCGCAAGAGCCAAGATGGTGGCGTTTGGACATCCCAACCATCACACAAGACAGCCTGTAGGTGATGGCGGGACGGCGCAGTGTTTGTGGCACTCGGCAGTAGGCACCCGCGGCACGGCCCCGCTGTCGGCTCTCGCGGGCTGCGGAACCGGACCCAGAAAGGGACGGTCCGGGCGAGTGTGGCAGCTCCTGCGCTAGTATGGGCACCCTCTATTATAGCACTACTGATCCTGGTCATTAGAGCTGCCAGGGATAGCGTCAGGAGCTGGTAGGAGTCAAAACCCCTCATATTTGAGACATCGTGTCCCATATACTCGTGCAACAACCCGGGAACGAGTCGCGGCTCGCGCGCCGGCGATAGATTTAGTTGCGGCGAGGTGTGTGTGTGTACGAAGCGCCGATGGCACGACCACCGCTCTGCATCAAAGACCGGGCAAGTAGGTGCCTGTTCATGTTCCGCGAGGAAGAGGAGGTCTCCCCCCCGGGCCCGGCCTGAGCAGCTACGGGTGGAAGGCAGCCCCTTCGAGTCGAGGAGGGTGGACGGCGCCACCATTGCCGAGCTCCAATGGCTAGAGACCTGGGCGTCTGCTGATGGTCACGCCGCCCCGCTCGTTCAGTGTCGCCCGCCGCCGCGCCGCGCCGCCGCCCGATGATTAATGATTAATTATTATCATCCGATGATTAATAATTAATAAATAAGTACCACACCACCCAGCTCCACTGTACTGCCGGTCTGCTGCTGCCCCCGAGTGTATACCGCCGCCCTTAATAAGGGTTCGCGCCGTTAGCAACTGCCATGTCGGCTGGTTGTCGGCTGCGGCTCTCGCCCCACTGGCGGCGCGGTCTAGTGCCGCGGCGCCCAGCCCTCCTGTGGGCCCGCGGCGGCTCGCCGCCGCGGTTCTGCACAATGTGACCGGTCCGGATTCGTCCCGGCGTACCGCCGGTGCCGCTTCCTCGCCGATTTTTTGCTCAACCACTTAGTCGACAAACTTGTGCCAGAGCTCCTGCTGCTCGACTGAGCGGCGGAGCCGGCCCCTCGCGGCCGAGGAGTGATGCGCCAGCACCGGGGCAACAACGCGGGACCGTCTCCGGGCCGTCTCGACACCCTGCGGCTCTTTGAACTCAACCTCGCAGCCCGCTGCGCGGCTCTTTGAGCGCGAGAGAGGTCGTCTACGAGGCGGCGGCGAGCGCAGGCGGCGCAGGCGGCGGCGGCGCGGCGGCGCGGCGGCGGATCGCGGCGCTGAAAACGGCAGCAGGCTGCTGCTTGCTGCTGCAGCAGCTGCTGCTGCTGCTGCTGCTCCGCTTCTGCTGATTGTGGGTACGATTCCTCCGATCACCCCGCCCGCCCGCCCCGCCCCATCCGCCCGTCTCTCCCCGCTTGCCGGCCCGCCCGCCCGCCCGCCCGCCCGACCGACCGACCACCCATTCCCATCACCATCTCACATACCTTCATATGAGCGGCCGCACATTGCTCGGTACCCCCCCTGCACATCTAAAGCCATCCCTGCTGCTAGGGGGGGGGGTCTGACCCCC